ATAGACTGGTAGAATGGGTCAAGAAGCAAAATCCAACAATACGCTGCATACAAGAAACACACTTAATTCAAAAGGAAACTCATAGACTGAAAGTTAAAGAGTGGAAAACAATACTCCATGTAACAGAAACCCGGAAAAAACCAGGAGTAGCAATCCTCTTTGCAGATTAAGTGGATTTGAAACCAACACGGACTAAAAGAGACAAAGAAGGACACTACATCCTTGTAAGGGGAACAATACAAGAGGAAGGGATGACAATCATAAACATACATGCACCAAACACTAGTGTGCCCAACTATATAAAACAAATACTAATGGACATGAAAAATCAAGTAAGCACCAATACAATAGTAGTGGGGGACTTCAGTACCCCACTGTCACAATAGATCAACTAGACAAAAAATAAGCAACCAAATACTAGAACTCAATCAAACTCTTGGACAAATGAACTTAACAGATGTTTACAGAGTCTTCCACCCCACAAAATCAGAATACACAATCTTTTCAGCTACACATGGGTCATTCTCCAAAACAGACCACATACTTGCTCATAGAACATGTTTAAGTAAGTGCAAAGGAATTGAAGTTATCCCCTGTATATTATCAGACCATAGTGCGATGAAATTGGAGATCCATAGCAAAAGAAACTGCAAGAACTTTGTAAACATATAGAAATTGAACAACATGGTTCTGAATAACCAATGAGTCACAGAGGAATTTAAAGAAGAAATCTGACAGTTTCTTCAACTAAATGACAATGACAATACAACATATTGGAATCTATGGGACACAATGAAAGCAGTCTTATGAGGGAAATTCATAGCGGTAAATACTCCTATTAGGAAAACAGAGTGAGCCCAATTAAACAACCTGATGCTGAACCTCAAGCTTCTAGGAAAAGAAGAGCAGGACAAACACAAAGCTCATACAAGGGAGGAAATTATAAAGATCAGAGCAAAAATCAATGCAGGAGATTAAGAGAATGATACAAGAAAATCAATGAAGCCAAAGTTGGTTCTTCGAAAGAATAAACAAAATTGACAAACTCTTAGCCAAACTTATCAGAAAAAGGAAAGAAAAGGCCCAAATCCATGCAATTAGGAATGAA